TTTATTTATGAAAAAAGTGAGTATATTAGATACCTTTTTCCTATTGTATGAACAATGAATAATAAAATAAAATTATGTAGTCCAAATCTGACTTTGTTATTCTGCTTTCATCATAAAAATTCTATTTACTTCTTATGATCAAAACATTTAACAAAAGGATAGGTGCTAAAAACCCACATTGCTTTGTTGTTTCTTATTCTGATTTCTTATTCTGTTATTCTAATATGTCTCCCTTCTTAGTGGACTTCTGGCCGGAAAAAACCTCAGCACTGATTATTATTCAGTCCTGATGCCATAACCAGACTGTTGTCTTTGTTCCTACCCCACTGGGCCATTGTGCTTTCAAGAGCTGCAACACTAGCTCTTTCCTGGGCCTGTCTGGCACAGTTCCTGGGCATGGGGTTCTCATCTGACCTCTTCATGGAAATCTGACCTCACAATCCAGCTGCTTCAAATCCCCAAAACCAGTGATGATTCCTTCTACCTTAGCCCTTTTTTCTCCTACCCATAGTTGCTTATGCATACATTTTGGAAGAACTTTGTAGACACTCTAAGGGACACATCATAACAGAAGGAAATATGTAAGTTTATGTAACATGCTCTAAAAAGCTCTATTTGTATGTCTGTTAGTTTTCCAGTTGCTTCCCTTCAGTTCCCCTGCCCAATCTTCCTCTAAATTAGCTGCAGAAATTCTTCATTTTATAATCTCTATTCCCATAAGTCCGGTGACATCCTGGTCAGTCCTGTCAGATAATTAGAGTTCGTTCCCCTCATCAGGTGATCCATTGCATTTCCTCCTAGACTCATGCTAGAATTCAGACTTGAAAAAAGCAGCTCACCTTAGGCAATAGCCATCTTGTTCAATCGTGTTCTTCTGGAGTGGTCAATCCTCAATGTAACAAATGTAATTTTTTTAACCCTGGGCTAGTTGCAAGAGATCCTGTCACTTAATGCTTTTAGCCGAATATAGAGGCAAAAGGCAGCAGAGACATTTAAGAAAACCTGTATTGAGAATTTGTAGTCTGATAAAGATGTTGATTGAGAGTCTTTAATAGCAAACAATTCAACAGTTGTACGTAGATTCCATGTTGTCACACAGGGATATAAGTTGTAGCTGCGATGGTCTAAAGGCAAAAATAGTCACAAATCTTGTGGTGGGGCAATATCTTTTATTAGATCAACTAGATAGTTGCAAAAACATGTTTATTTGCAAGCTTTCAGGTTCATGCACCCTTTCTCAGGCAAAGGAAAATGCAAAGACTGGAAAATTTCTCCCAGGTAAAAATGAAACTTCATATTGCACAGGAGAACTGGAGACTGGTGCAAGTTCTCCTGGGTGGAAAAGTTCACTTTATGCAAATTAGACTTGGATAAAAGTTGCCACAAAGATCCTCTCAAGCCATTCCATGAAGATCTCATACCATGCTGATGAATCCTCTGTCTTCTAGTATGATGGAAATCAGGGTGGAATCTAAACTCATTTTTCTCCAAAGCCACTAGAAAGTTTCCTGACAAATCTCCACATACTTTCTATACAAAAATATGTTTGGTGAAACTCTCCCAGCCTCACACAGAGCACCCTTTTTAAAACGGCAAAGACATGAATAGCAAAACTGCAGCAACTGGCACCTTTGAGAGTACATAGTGTTCAGGTTGCCCCCTTTTTTTCTTCTACAATTCTTCAAAGTATTTTTTAGTTTTACCATGCAGTAGTTCAGTAGGACATAGAAAAAGAGAAATTACTTTTAAAAAATTGACTTTGACAGTATTTTCATATAACCAGAATCTAATAGACTGGATGTGTGGGTGGGAGAATTCTGTTTTTGATCTGGACATGCTACTATCATGAGCTAGTAGGCACTAGCATGAGTATATTTCTGCTTTGTGACTAAATATAGAAATCACTAGTTCAGCAGTTTTCAACTTCTGGTCCTTGGACCCCTGAGGGTCCACAGACTGTTTAAGGTATCCACAAAAGATAACTATGGTCAATCAAAAGTATGTGAATACCCACACTTGCAATTCAGAGGGGTTCACATCTCCATTCATAATTTTTAGGGGTCTGCAAATGAAAGTTGAAAACCACTGATCTAGGCAATTAGAGACTGCTAAACATAGTTGCATAACAGATGCTTTGTACTTCCTTTACCCACAGATAGCTTCTTTTGTTTTTAATCAGCCTGTTGTTCATTCTCATGCTACTGAATTATAACATTTTGGGGACAGAGACTATATTTTTATTATATGTATGAACAGAGTTTAGCTCTGTAGGGAATCTGGTTGTAGTGTTTAGGCCCTACAGTGACTTACAGTAATGTTACCACTTGTTATTCATGAGGCTTGGACACATTAAATAGTATTATCACATGTGCCCAATAAGCAATGGCTGCAGCTGAAGAAGGATATGTTCAGAAAGGAAGCTTATTGAACATTAAACCATTTTATGCTATTCTGGCCCCTAAAGAAATAAATTACAAGTTGCTGCTAGTAGCTATCTGGGTAATTTGTGACTGATGGCAATGCTTTGGAGTTAAGAAGTACCATATTTACTTTAATAGAAGATGACCCTGATTATAAGATGACCCTACCAGCTACAGCAGGGAAGAGATTTGGGGGATCAGGTAGCCCCTTTGTGTCACCCCAACTTTTTCCCCTGGCAGCCCCTTCCCGCTCCCCTTAATATCAGGACTTGTTCTCCATGAGCACATGGAAATGAGGAGCAGATTTGAAAACGATGACCATGAAATTAAACATGGCTGTAGCAATTTACGTGTAGTGCCCATGCACTTGACTTATCCAGAATTGATTCTTGTTACATTTCTTTGAAACTGCTGTATGTTTTAGCACAGGTACTTCATAAACATAATTTTGAGCAGCACTTTGGCACCTACTTATTATATATAATGCAAACCATGCATGATATTAGTCCAAAGCCAAAGGCTTGTGATGTACCACATTGTGCATTGGGCTCGTCCCTACCGGTGAACCCATAGCTCAGTACTGCTCAGTGTGTGTGTGTGTGTGTGTGTGTGTGTGTGTGTGTGTGTGTGTGTGTGTGTGTGTGTGTGTGATGAAGGAGCCGTGTGTTATTCACCC